AAGCATTAAAATATTTTAATTAACCTTCTCCCTACATTTGTGTATCTCTTATCTTTCATTTGCTTTCTTCTTTATTATCAAGATATATAATTATCATAATTATCAAGGTAATCTACCATCAAATTTTTATCAATAATTTCAAAATGCTATAGATTGTTCGAACATCCGATTAATTAATAATAACGTACAAACAAACTAACATAAGCGAAACTCTGGCAAGTATTACAATGTGCCATTTCAAGTATCCCCATTTTAATGTATTTCCCTTTGTGAGCCTCTTGTTCGTTTTTTCTTTTGTCGGATTGCTATTGATAAATCGTAGATAGGACAACGGGAGAAAAAAAATAATTTATTACCGTTAGCCAGAGCACGACTCGGGTATACCGAACAAATCAAATGGAAACGTATATCGTGAGCGTGTTACTCTAAGATAAAAGTTTAGAATACAAATGGCACGCAACCACCCGATATCCGGCTCCCTGAAGAATTAATTGCACGATATTAATTGGCTCACGTTTCTCTGTTCAATTACTTGGAATTGTTTTATCAAGGACCCGTTGGTACACCGTTTTATCTAGACCGCTGGTCTAGAAATCTTAACCTCAAACCGACGAGACGGGATCCGCTAGAGAAACGAGAATGAAACTTTTTAAACGAACCCCGACACTAATTTAAATATATTAATATTTATTGCTATCGGTTCGTCACACGCTGGAACTTAATATTCAATCGAAATGGAATTCTGATTGGGCTATTTCATTGCTCCGTTTTAACATAAATCACTAACTGACTTCACAAAAAAGTGAATATTTAGCGTCGAATACCAATTAATGTTTATCATAACGAAGAATAATGTTCAATGGTTTTTTAACCGAGATTATTCACAATTTCCATGTGTTAAAATTACTGTCAGCGAAAATAGCATCCCATTCGATGCTATTCTCTTAAAACTTATCTACAAAGTACATAAAAATCTGCTTGAACATTTATCCGAGTATGATTTTATTCGATTAAAAGCTCGTTTGAATAAGAATTTATTTGAAAAATTAACGTGGAAAATAAATCGATCTGAATAAGAGGATTATAGAATTCATTTCTTGCATGTTCATTTTTACAATTAACTTATTATTCAAAGTATGCCACATTTCAGTGGACTGATGCATAAGTAAACAATCTTTCTTCAGGTGCAAAGTTAAGTCATCGTACATTCCAGAATTCATATTTACAGTACATACATATGTGCTTAAAAAATTAGGTGAATGAAAAACAGTAAAAAGTTATTGGCATTATTATTCGCATAATTTTGCAATCTTTATTAGAATAATTTATTCGAATAAAAAACATAGAATTATTTGAATAAAAAATGAAGAATTATTCGTATAAATAGACAGAATTATTCGAATAAATAAATAGAATTATTCGTATAAATGGATACAATTATTCGAATAAATAAAATATACTAATACTTTGTCACGAATAATGGATGACTCTTGTTGCAATAAAATATTCGACTAAAAAGAATTCGTGAAATATCAAGAAATTGTCAGTCGTTCGGCGTTCGTTGAATTTTTTGACCTAGTATGTTTCCCATGCTTGTTACCGCATGCAGAACGATGCACATTTATTGTGCAGTAAGAATGCATCAAGCTCAAAAGGGCTTTGCCTTGATTATTTAACTCCTTTGGAAAGGCTCCCTGGCCGAGTTTACGCGGAGCTCCATTCACAGTTCCGGCGGAATGGAACAATGTCGAAAATTCACGAAAGATATCGTCCTTAGCTGCAATCCCGTGTTTCCCAGAATGTTTGCTACTCCTTCAAATTGTTTCCCTTTGAGACGGCTGTTTGTTTCGCGAAAGAGAAAGAGCCGGCGCCGCGCTGAATCCAAAATTCAGACGCGGTGCACGATGCCGTAATCTTCTTTCCCGAAAATTGTGCCCTCCATTCTTAATTTTCATCCCTCATATTCTCTCTGACGAGCTGCGCCAGGATTTTCAAAATGTACATATGCATTAAAATCGGAGCGGTCGCGCGACGATGCTTGTAACAAAACTGAAACTCAAACGTTGAAACGGAAGTTCGTAATAGATGTCTGTGAATTTAGCGCTTGATTCGCGAAACTGGCGGGATAAGCAAACAACGTTGATTGAGAATAGATTAATTAGAAAACGTGTAAATTAACATAGGCTAATAGCAATTGTTTTATTTCCTTTTTCAACAGAGTTAGACAACATTTTATTCGAATAAGAGATAAAGATTAACGAATATAATTTTGTTCGACACTATCGAATAAAAATTCATTTAGATAGAAATTTATCCGAATTGGATTTTATTCGAATAAGTATTCGATTCCTGTATTCAATAGGAATTCATACGTACAATTATCGATATCAATGAAAATGATCAAATAAAGAAGGTTTTTTCCATAGCCGTTCTTCAATCATTCATAAATTCAACCACTAAGCTTCAATCTAGCATGATCGTCAGTTTTGCATAAAATAAATCTTAAAGATCAAGAAATTAAATTTTCTGTTACGTATTATGCAACATTAAATACTTAAAATATTTAATAACTTATTGAGAAAATAAAGTTTCGGAACCAGAAAATAGTTTTCCCTAATAACACGAATTAATAGATTTTTGTTTTAACAAGTTCAAAGGTATTTTAATCCTTCGACAGCTTCAATAAT